ATACAATACTGTGTAAAACGAACGGCCAATAAATAAAAAGATAAAATTTTACTTTAACAGATTACTTCTTTTGAAAAAATTTATATATTTATAGCATACATCGATAGATGAGTTACATATATAAAAAATCGTATCTAAACAATCAGAGGTATGGAAGATATACTTTATATAGTACCAATCCAAGTGATTTTCACTGTTATATGATCGGTATGTAAACATAAAGGAGATATATAGCAAAAACTGGTATCTGAACAATCAGTGGTATAGGAGATAAAGTTTATACAGCATAGATTTTGACGATTTTCTCAGTAGACTTTGTATTATTATTTATAAAATAGCTTACGAAATTTATCGGTTTTAGCTGTCCAAATAAAGGAGTTTTACAGTAAAACCCCATATCTGAACAATCAGTTGTATGGGGGCAATAAATAGGTTATAGCGACCCGATCTTTGTTCATTTTACTGTAAACTTTCCGTTGATAATGAGTGAAAATAGTGCGAAATTTAATGCTTCTAGCTGCATAAATGGAGAAGTTATAACAAAAAATCTCATATCTGAACAATCAGTTGTATGGAAGCTATAGGTTATAGCGACCAAATCTTCACCATTTTCACTGTAAGCATTCTTTTGATACTGGGTGGAAATAGTGCGAAATTTCATATTCCCAGCTGCATAAATGGAGGAGTTATAACGAAAATTCTCATATCTCAACAATCAGTTATATGGGAGATATATGTTATACTGACCCGATCTTTGTAACTTTCACTGTAAGTATTCTGTTAATAATGAGTGAAAACGGTGCGAAATTTCATGTTCCTAGTTGCATAAATGGAGAAGACCTTATATCTGAACAATCAGTTGTATGGGAGCTATAGGCTATAGTGACCCGATCTTTGTAATTTTTACTGTAAGTATTCTGTTGATAATGAGTGAAAACAGTGCGAAATGTCATGTTCGTAGCTACATAAATGGGAAGGTTATAACGAAAAATCTTATATCTGAACAATCAGTTGTATGGGAGCTATAGGTTATAGTGACCCGATCTTTGTAATTTTCACTGTAAGTATTCTGTTGGTAATGGGTCCAAGTATTGCAAAATTTCATGTTCCTAGCTGCATAAATGGAGGAGTTATAACGAAAAGTCTCATATCTGAACAATCAGTTGTATGGGAGCTATGTATATGTTATAGTGGTCCGACTCTTCCGGTTCCGACAAATAATTAATACAATATAAAAATACACCCACTTACCAAATTTCATGCGGATATCTCGAAAACTGAGAGACTAGATTGCATACAAACAGACGGACATACAGACAGACGGACATACAGACAGACGGACATGGCTAAATCAACTCAGCTCGACGTTCTGATCATATAAGTATACATTTTAATCGGTCTATCTCTTTTTATTCTGGTACTTACAAACATTGGACTAAAGTTATAATACCAGTTCATGCTCATGAAAGGTATACAAATAAATTACAAAAAATCAGCGGTACTCATAACGTTTCTAAGAAATCTAATTAAAAAGCTCAAAATTGTTCATGAAACTTTGTCGAATGTTGCTAATTTATGTACAAAGTTTAAATTTTGACTTACATGGTCATATAATTTCTATAATTTACACGAAAATAGGTCTGATATTTAGGCCTAGCCATGTAGTTATAGACTGGTACTTCTACTCGGTATAACCCAGATACATTTCCTGATCTGAGTAATATCTAAAAAAAGTCAGGCAATGGAAAACGAGTGAGGCTACTTCTGCCAAGAAAAAGATTTTCTTATAAAACTATTTCTATTATCTGCCCATAACTGTACCATCTTGAACTTTCTTAGGTCTAGTAGTGTTTTTTATAAACTTGTTCAAATAATAAAAGATTGTCACAACTCAAAGGACGCGATTTATGAGCAAATGGTGCAGAACTACTCGCTAAATTTTGCTTTTTATTGTGTAAAAATTTCTTAGGGCTGGTTTCTCCAACTCAACTTAACTTAGTTTAGCCATTTTTTGGACTTAAGTCAAAAGTTAGCCTACCTTTTACACAGCTTATTCTTGACTAAGTCTAAAAAATTGGCTAAACTAAGTTAAGTTGAGTTGGAGAAACCAGCCCTTATGCCCAGATGTCTAAAATTCCACATTCGCAACATCCCTAATATATACATACACTGGTGGCAGAAATAATAGAAACACCTTATTTTAACCAGTTTTGGCTATATTTCTTTTATTTATTAAATGTTTATTTTTTTATAAAAATCCAGTTTAACAGTGCAGTTTTGCAGTGCAGTCCAGTAATCGGAATGAAATTTTTTGCCAAAGGTGTTGCAGTTTTCTTCCACATAAAATTATATCGTGTTTATTCGCTATATGGAAGCAAATGTGACGAAAAATTCTAAAAAAGCAGCGGTAATTTCTAGCCACATGAAACTTACACTTCATCCTACTAAAATTTACTGGAATAAAAAATGCATACCTAAAAGCTTTCTAAAAATTCTGAATAAAAAGTTAGAAATATTGGCGAAAGATTTTTTCATTTTCCTAATTTTTGTACAAACTTCCAGAAGCGTATTTATAGGAATTTTATTATATAATTAGCTGGACTTTTCAAAAAAAAAAAATATTAGACGTAAAATAAAAAAGAAATGTAGCCAAAACTGGTCAAAATAAGGCGTTTCTGTTATATCTACCACCAGTGTACATGGATTTATATTTTTTGCATTTTGGGAGTAAGTTGTAAAAATTTTAAATTTAAACGCGTCTCCTGAATCCGTTATTTCAGCATTGAATTAGTTCTGATAGTCGAGAAAACAAATTTTACGAATTATCAAGATTTTTGTAAAATCGCGTTCGTACAAACAAGGGGCAATGAGAGCGCAAAGTGACAGTTCTCTTGGAGCGGAAATTGCAAACTCTTGCTAGAAAAATTGTTTCCAGCACAAATTTGCTAGCAGGATTGTGGCACGTGGTTGCTTTTTTGTTGAATAATTTGAATAAACAAGTTCGGTATATTTAAAAATTTATACACTTGAGCGATTTGCTAATGAAAAACGTACGTAAGTCAATATTTGTTTACTTAATTAATTAAGTTAATTCCAATGATTTGAAAAAACTATTTACGTAATCGAAATGCAATTGCACCCATAGTCGGTACCTGTCTTGTATAAGATTTATAGTGTACACGGATAGACGGACGGACAAACAGACATAGTTTTATCGACTTCGCTATTCATTCTGAGCATATGTCTATTTATATGTATCTATCTCGATTCCTTAGGTTGTTACAAAAAACCCTTTTGTGAACAAAGTTACAACACCGTTGGGCACAAGTACGGCCAGGTATAAACCATTTTATTGAAAGTATGCCTTCAGGATATAGGCAGTCATAAAAGCAACCCAAAAAAATTAATTAATTCTCAATAAAGTAATGTATTACTAGTCTAGATATGCTAAATAAAAAAAGTAAATGTAATCCAAATATGTTTAAAAGCGTGCGCCGAAAATACGCTTTTTTACAATTTTGATTGGTAATAGCAAAAATATGGTTCATTGTGCTCTAAAAACAATCTGTGTGAAAGATGACAATTTTTGGTCAATATCTTAGGCTCGCCCAAGTCCATCAAAGTTCAATGTGCTGAAAAAATTGAAGTCAATAAATATATTAATTAACAAATTATTTTTTTTTTCTAAAATTGCAATTATCTTCGAAAGTATTAGCCCTATAGAATTGGTATATGGACCTTTTTTGAGGAGAATCGAAGTAAGCTAAGAAAAAAATGTTTAGCAATTGAACTTTGATTGGCTTGGTAAGATAGCAGTATTATTGATTAAAGGTTGAAAAATGGAATTATAACAAAACCGTTCTAATAACTTGAGCCCCTACTGTATAGGTTTGTATGTATGTACATGACCCCAAAATGAAGCAATGCTACATATGTATGTATTTATTAGTAAAATAATCTTTATGCTTACCTTCTGGGATATCAGACCCCATATAAATAGGTGCACCTGAGTAGTCTACTACGTTACCGGCATCATCAAAGAATACCGTTATATTGCCAACATATTTGGCATAGGCTGCAGCTTGAACGATTAACACACGATGCCCACTTTCGTGTATTACCTCTGTGGGATATGGACCGCGAGGAGTATCTGGTCCAGGTGGAGTGTCGCCTGTATAGAGAAAAGTATGCGAATGTGCACCCACTATTACATCAACTTCGTCACCGGCGTTTACAGCAATTATCTTATCCACATCATAGCCACAGTGAGTGATAGCGATAATAATGTTTGCACCCTGGGCCTTCAAATTTTGAGCTTCCTCTCGTATAGCAGCGCTTTCGTTAAGAAAAATCAAGTCACCAGTGTTTGCTAAATCCTGATTCGGAAAAATTAGCATTGCAATCCAAAAAATATATGCCAAGTTAAAAGTGAAATTTTAATGTTACTTACATAAGTGGTCTCGAGGATAATTCCTATAACACCGATTTTCCTATTACTACGCTCTATTATCATGGAGCTTTGATATTTTCCCTGCATATCAGGCTCATCTCTTGCGTCCATATTTGCCACCAGCATGGGCGAATTGATAGTTTCTAGGAAGGGCACCAGTCCTTCAATACCATGATCGAACTCATGGTTGCCGAGTGTCTAGCGGTATATTCATATAATTATAATATTTTGTTTGCGACAAATAAATATCTCATTACCATCGCATCTGCGGGCAGCATGTTCAGAAACTGACTTGTTACATTCCATCGTCCAATATTGTACCAAAGTGTACCTTGAAAACTGTCGCCCGCATTAAAGTAAACCGGGTTTCGGTCCTTCTGCTCTTCGAGTAACCGTTTCACAGTGTAGACAGTGCGTGCATAACCACCAATACACTCTTCGCCAGCATCGCAAGTACCACCTGATGTATCTGTAGCTTCGAATCTGCAATATTAAAAAAATTCATACGTTATTGAATATGAGCAAATCTCACGAGTTGTTATTTTTTTCAATGTCACTCCCTTCTCTCGCCAGACAAAAAAAACGCTAAAGCAATTATATTCAACAATTTTTATTGAGCTTGAGGCCGTTTTTAATGCAAAACTTATTGTGGAAAAGCAACAATAATTTTACAAAATGGTAGAAGTGATAGCTATTTCGGAAATTACCACATTTCCTCATCAGACTTCTTTTCAGTAGGATTCGAACCGACGATCCCACTGACTCAGCCAGTTGCCTACGCACTCTGCTAAGTTCGCCTTGTAAATTATCGGTGCTTTTTTTCCGACTTTTTCATTTGTTAAGCCAACACAATCAAGCTCAGCTATTCCGCTGCAATTCACACTTGATCATGTGGTTGTTGGTTTTGTTGGTTTTTGTTAATAATTCTATTGTTAGAATATTTAACTTTTAGGTTTGCTCGTCCTTAAGTTATTTGTTTTTGTTATTTTATGGCCTTATAACAATTATATTCAACAATTTTTATTGAGCTTTACTGAAAATAAGTCTGAAGAGGAAATGTGGGCATTTCCGAAATAGCTATCACTTCTACCATTTTTTCAAATGATTGTTGCTTTTCCACAATAAGTTCTTTATTAAAAACGACCTCAAGCTCAATAAAAATTGTTGAATATAATTGTTATAAGGCCATAAAATAACAAAAACCTTACCCGCAGTTGGAGAATGAAATTTGGCTTTCTGACTTAATGTTCTTTACCGATATGATGGAACATTTACAAAACTTGAATTAGTCTCTACGCCTTTTTTTATGACCTCAAAAAAAAAATTTCATCATTTTCCATTGCTAAAAAAAATATTGCACATGATTTAAAAGCAGATTTTGAAAAAAAGATTTGCCGATTTGAAATTATTTAAATGTACGTTTGCATACTTCATAAACCCTTTTTTATGTAACATAATTGAGGATGAATTTACAATATCCGAAACAGTCCTTTTTAAGAAAAGCGAAAATGAGTTGGAGTTTTTGGAATTAAAAGAAGACAAGGCACTGGAAATGCAACATAAAGCTTGCTTGAATTCCGGAAATAAGTACCAAATTTAAAATATCCGCTGTTGAAAACAGCTGCGTCCCGTATATTTCCAATTCTTGGTACAACGTATAACTGTGAGTCTGTACTCTAGAATGAAATTAGTAAAGTCAAAATACCGTTCACAATTAGTTGCATTCGCGTACCTGATAATTATGGAAAGTTATAAAAACTATCAGCTTTTTGTGTTCGCGTACGCAAAAAACTTGCAAAGTAGGGGAAATTGAGAGAGCAAAATGACATTTAATTTTGAGGGAGTTTCTGCTGGAATTTTTTGCCAACTGCAATTTGCCACCAAGAAAACAGCTGATCAAAAACGGCTGGCTGGAATTTAAGCAAATCCCTAAATTGAATTTGATGGTTTGGAAGTCAAAATAGTAAAATGCGACTAATTAAACTTGTAAGAAGTAAGTAATTATTCGTTTAGTTAGTGGACTGTGTCAGGATAAGACTTCGGGATTTGTTTTCTTACGTTTTCAATTTTATAGTTCTGAATGTAACCAAAATTTCTATCAGCTGTTCGTCTAACTTACAAGTTTCTGCAAATTTTCTGTTCGCGTACTGTTTTGGATATTTTTCTCTTGCGAGAGAACATATGACATTACGCCGTAATTTTGCTGTTGGACATATTTTACTGGAGATTTAAACGAACGTACCTATTGACAAACCAACATATAACAGAACTGTTACGAACGGCTTTGACTGACGTAGAACCAGATTTTGAAAATTTGGCCAAAGGGATCTTTGAATTTTCTTTAATACCTATCTTACGTACATTAGAATAATAATAAAATTAATGTTTTTCATTTCTAATAATAAATTTATTGAAAAATAAAATTTTGTGTTTTTGTTGTTTTTTTGTGGCACTTATCGGCCTCGGCCTTGCCCACCCCTGTACTATAATTTAAAGCTAAATATTAAATATAATTTGAATTCTTCAATCAATTTCTGCAATTAGTATTGAATTTTTCTACTATCAATATTAAGCTCCAATAGAATATAATTTGCATTCTTCAATCAATTTCTTTTACCATCAATATTAAACTCCAAAAAATTTAAGCTATAAAAGAATCCTGCAAATATGAATCTTCAATCAATTTCTTCAATCTATAAAAACTTTTTCATCAGATTTAGTAAATTTCAACAATCAAATCCGGTTTCCTAAGGAGGTACTGCGCAAACATTTTAAAGAGATTTTTTTTTATTGAAAGCATTTTTTTAAAAGGAAAATATCCTTTTCGAATCGTGATATTGTGATTTAATTAATTTAGGTAATTTACCTATTTTTAAAACATTTAATAAAATGCGTTTATCGCGGGAGCAAGTATTAGAAATCATAAAAATAGCAAGTTATAATACTAGACATGAATTAGCTGAGAAAATAGCTAACGGCTAAACTTGATACGCTTACTTTGGCTCTTGGCCGATTAAAAATACCAAGTGTAGAAGTTTATACGCCGGTCGCAATAAATCCTACAATTGATTCAGGAAATATGTTGTTTGGATTTAGTTAAGTCTTTACCAGAGTTTAGTGGTGACGCATCTTCCTACCCGGCTTGGCGCTCTGCTGCTAATTTTGCTATAAAGTATTATAATGAAGGATCAGAAAGATACTATGTAGCTATAGGTATCCTTAGAAATAGGATTACTGGTTCTGCCAATATGACGTTGTCATCCTTTAACACCGTTCTGAATTTTAAAGCAATTATCGCAAGACTTGACCAGACGTACGCAGATAAAAGACCTATATATGTTCTAAAAAATGAATTGAGTATCCTCAGACAAGGTGATCTTTGTATTGCAGGTTATTATGATAAAGTTGAAGAGCATTTGACTCTTATCATAAATAAACATATAATAACTTATAATAATAACTGTGTAGTAATAGATGCATTAAATGAACGAGCTAGAGAAAACGCACTTCGTGTTTTTTCTCTGGGCTTCGTCGTCCCTTATGCGATATTCTTTTTTCCTCGAGGCCAAAGAACCTTCCGACGACATTAGTTATCGCCCAAGAATTAGCAACAAATCATAAACGTTATGATTTCGCAAATACTTTTGCTATGGGAAGAATGGTTAGACCAAATAAAGTCCGTTCATCTGGACCTCAGTATAATCGCAGTCCGTTACCGAGTTTACATTTCAACAATAAACCAGAGGCAATGGAAGTCGATCCAGTTACATCATTTTATAAACAAAGGACATTAGGAAATAATCATCAGAGTCAAAGTCGAAATTTTACTGTGGCCCAACCACAGCAGTTGTCTATTCGAGCACAACCATTTAAGCGTCCTAGGGAACAATCTGGCTCTTTTGATAGGCCTCAGCAAAAAACCCAACATGTAAATTATATGTCTGAAAAAGCAGATCAACTTTGTGATGAATCTATTTTTAACAAATATGAGAATAGTGAATCTCTCTTTCGTCTAAATAGTGATTACAATGATGAATATAAAATTCAAGATTCTGATTTTAGCGATGAAATACATTGTTTAAACTAAATTCGCTCCTGCCGTACATTACAAAAAAAAAACTGCGAATGGACAGGAGCTTCGCTTGTTAATTGATACCGCAACCTTGAAAAATTATATTAAAGATTTTTCATTTCTTCATGGAGTTAAATTAATGGAAAAATCGTTTAATTTAAAATCAATAAACGGAATAAATTTAATAGATCAAAAGTGTTTAGTTAATTTGCTCGATCATACTTCAACGTTTTATGTGCTTAAAACGTTAAAAACGTTTGACGGTATAATTGGATATGACTTTCTGAGGGAGATTGACGCGAAAATTGATACGGAATCTGGATATTTGTATTATCGAAATGGTAGGGTAGAAATCAAACATCTTAATTGCAATCAGGTGAACTTGATCACATTCGCAGAGGATTCTGTTCCGTCTCATATCCGTAGTGATTTTGGTGATATGATTAATAGCAATATAAATACATTCGCGAATCCAGACCGAGCTTTACTGTACAATACAAATGTGGAAGCTACAATTCGTACATCTACAGATGAGCCTATTTACAGTAGAAGTTATCCATATGCAATGTGTGCGGCGGAATTCATAAATAAAGAAATAAATAGTCTTCTGAAAGATGGAATAATCTGAAAGTCGTGTTCTCCATATAATTCTCCAATACATGTCGTAACCAAAAAGGGTTTGGATGAAGATGGAAAGCAAAAGTTGCGTATGGTAATTGATTTCCGCAAAATCAGTGAAAACACAATATCTGATAAATATCCTATACCTGATATTTCGGTAATTTTAACAAATTTAGGGAAGTCGCGATTGTTCACAACTCTAGACCTGAAATCTGGTTTTCACCAAATAAACTTATACGAAAAAGAAAAACTGCATTTAGTGTTAACAATGGAAAGTATGAGTTTTGCCGTCTACCTTTCGGGTTGAAAAACGCCCCAAACATTCTTCAGTGTGCAATCGATGATGTCTTACGTGAAGAAATAGGTAAAACCTGTCATGTCTACATTGACGATATTATTATTTTCTCATCTGATAAAAATACGCACATAAGTGATGTAGATAAAATTTAAAAAATGTTAGAAAAATCAGGAATGAGGGTATCATCAGAGAAGTCAAAATTTTTTAAGGAATATGTTGAGTTTTTGGGGTTTGTGGTTTCACAAAATGATATTCGGACTTGTCCAGATAAGGTCCGTTAATTATATAATTATAAAACTCCGGAGACACTTCGAGGGTTGCGTTCTTTTTTTGGTCTAGCTGGATGTTATCGCAGATTTGTCAAAGATTATGCCGCAATAGTAAAACCTTTAACTAAATTTTTGCGCGGTGAGAATGGCCATGTTGATACAAACAAATCGAAACATGTTAAAATAAGGTTTGATCAGGAAGCAATATCTGCTTTTGCAAAAATCAAAAAAATACTCGCTTCGGTAGATGTACTTCTGCGGTATCCACATTTTAACTGTCCATTTGAGCTAACAACTGATGCTTCATCAAATGCCTTGGGAACGGTATTATCTCAAAATAATCGACCTATAACAATGATTTCCCGTACGCTTTCTTCAACTGAACAAAATTATGCTACAAACGAACGTGAGATGTTGGCTATTGTGTGGGCATTAAAAACTCTGCGACATTATCTATATGGTACAAAAAATGTAAGAATCTTTACTGATCATCAGCCTCTTATATTCTCCATTTCAGAAAAAAATCCCAACACCAAAATGAAAAGATGGCGTACATTTATTGAAGAGTTTTCGCCAACTTTTCATTATAAACCTGGGAAAGAGAATAAAGTAGCCGATGCAATATATTAATAACTTCAGTACCTCGTTAGAAACAGAACATAGTGAATAATATTCTACAGATGTGATTAAAACTGTTAAGTGTCCTGTCAACCAATTTAGAAATCAATTGCTTTTAACAAAACGGCCATCCTATATTAAAACCACAAAGGTGGTTTTTCAAAAATTTATACGTCATACTACTATACTATTGTTTTCATTTCTGTAGAAAATTTATTACAATGTTTAAAAGATGTGGTTAATCCAAATAGTACTAACGCGATTCACTGTGATTTGGAGACTTTGGGCGGAAATTCAAAATCCTATAGTTTCTTCGTTTCCAGGCGTTAAGTTTTAGCATACAGAATTGTTCGTGATAGACTTGATAAATAGAAATGATCAACTTGAAACAGTAACCGTTGAACATAATCGCGCGCATCGTTATTTGCTAGAAAATTTTAAGCAAATTATTAGCGAATACTACTTCCCTGATATTAATATATAATAATAGATTGGCGCTTACACATATGTTAGTGTTTGGCCGAGCTTCTCCTTCGATTTGTGGCGTGCGCCTTGATGTTGTCACACAAAGCGGAGGGACCTACAGTTTTACGCCGACTCCGAACGGCGATTGTATTTTTATGCGAAGCTGTTTTTCATGGCAGAAATACACTCGGAGGTTTGCCATTGCCTGCCGATATTAAAAAAAAACTTTAAAGTCATCAATCGTGAATTGTAAAATATGTTTGGAGAACAAGTACCAGCGGAAACCATCAAATTTGGCAAATGGTCCAATTCCAAATTATCCTGGCGAAATTTTACACCTTGATATTTTAATAACAGATAAACAGCATTTCTTAACTTGTGTGGATAAATTTTCAAAATTTGCTATGGTTAAGCCGATTGCCTCGCGATCTGCTTTGGATATTAAAGATGCTTTACTTGAAATTTTGTTAGTATTTAAA